AAGGAAGGAAGGAAGGAAGGAAGGAAGGAAGGGAGGGAGGGAGGGAGGGAGGGAGGGAGGGAATGAGGATTATGTCAATCTACAATTCTAGCTTTGGGTAAAAAGTGTAGTTATGAAATGGCTACTCCCCACAGATATGAATTTGAGGTTCAATCCCATTTCCAGGGAACAGGATTCTCAGGTGGGAGGGAGCCAGCCCTAAAAGCCTTCCACGGAGAGCGTGTGGTTCAGCGCATAGGCATCGCTATCCTCTTCCTCCAAAAGCAGCTTGTCGATGGTCAGGGAACTGATGGCTCTCCTAGGGTCTTCCATGTCCTGAAGGACCGGCTCAGGAATAGAGATGGGGAGCTGGACAAACTGGGGCCCGGAAAGGGCTGGTGCCGGAGGCTGGTACTGCAGAGTGGAGGTGGGCAGTGTAGACAGGGGTTGAGGCCACGGGAAGTAGGTGAGGGGTGCCTGGTGCTCTGGGCCCTCCAACTGGGGCCCCACTGTGGGCGGGGCGGCGCTTCTTGTCTGTGATGGGGGAGACACAGGATGGAAGGTTAACTAGGCCTTTTTCTGCTGTCTCTCTCACTCCAGTGGGTCCACCTCCACCTACTCAAAGTCTCCCCCAAAGAAGAAGACAGACAGACTTCTGTATCCCTGATTCTGTCACTCACTAGCTATATGTCCTTGTTCATGCTACTTCCCCTCTGCAACCTATTTGCTCATCTATAAAATAGGTTACAAGTAGGACTGACATCAGAGGGCTGAGCAAATTAGAGGTGCTTCTCCAGATTTCACTGAACATAAAATAGATCCCAATTTCAGAGATATTAAAATGCCGGAGGCAAGGACGTGCATCTTCAAATCAATGGAAATACCGCATGTTAAACAATAAGCCTGTCACATGGCATCATAGTAGCTGTGTCACAAATGTGGCCACAGTCCTGCCCAGAGACAAAGACAGGCCTGGTTCCACACAGCAGCTTTGGCATTCTGAGGTCTTCTTGGGCCGACACAGCTCCACTCACGTCCCACGACCTCAGCCTCCTCTTTCTCTGAGCTGGGCCCCTATGGCCATTGCAGAGACCTCCAAAGGTCAGGGCCGTGCTCCCAGGTGCTCTACAAACAACCCTCTCACTTGCACAGAGACCACCCTACGAACCCCAGGTCAAGCCTGCGAGAGAGACAGAGCCTGCGGTCTTACTCTTTCCCACCATTGAGGAAGCAGGTAGAAGAGGAAAACCTCTGCATGGAATGATGTGTGAGGGGCCAGAGTCTCCCCCTACTGCCCCTGCCTCCCCTGGCATATTTCTCTCCAGTTGTCACTGTGTCTTGAGAGTAAACTATTATAATCATTTAGGGAAGAGCTTATTTCAATGTCCTGGGGATCTTGTAACAACGAAGATTCTAGTACAGCGGGTCAGGGGTGGAGCCTGGATTCTGCATGTCTAATCAGATCCCAGGTGATGCCAATATGGCTGGTCCAGAGACCACAGTTTAAATAGCAAGACTAGGTTGCTTTCCCGCGGAATGATGGAGCTGGAAAGGGTCTCAGAGGCCTTCTGGCCTCCCAATAAGGTCTTATTAGTTCCAGTATTTTATCCAGATGGGAACCCTTCATTTTTGAGTTAGCAACCTGTGCAGGACAACTGCAACTGCAGGTTTCTTTGCTCAGGGATAGAATTACATCAACCCAGTGCCATAACAGGTCTTATCTCCTGCTGATCAGGAGTGCCGATTGGGTAGCTCTAACCAGCTTTGATGAGTCAATTTACAAAATGGCAAAACAAATAAATTATTTCTTAATAGATATAGTTTGTTTGATACACAGAAACTTTCAAAGCAGGAGGTGGGGATGATGAAAGGATAAATAATGAAAGGAATCCTTGGTCATGAAATGGTTGGGAACCATTAAGTNCCCCCCCTTTGCCTTGGCTACTCACCATCACTAGCAACAAAGATGGAAAGTAGTCCTCTAAAATGCTGTCTTAAGCTTTTAAATCTAAAAATTAAGTCTGAATAAAAATAATTCAAGATATTTATATTGGGATTTTAGGCACACACTGAGAAATTTGGGTCAAAAGAAACCCACAGCAGAAAAAAAATTTTTTAAAGGCAGCTTTATCCAGAGTTTTTCTTTTAAATGGGGGGAAAAAAAGTGTCGAAAAAACTGTCATTTTCCAGAAAAGTCCATTACTTCTAATAGATTCCACCAACTAATATATCTGCCTAATACTGACAGTGATGTCATTAGCAGACTGGTCTGCCAGTTCCCAAAGCACACAGCCACCGTCAGGAGCTAAGCACCCCAGTGACAACTGTGCCCAAGCCCCTGTATATTTGATGTTTCTCCAGGAAAAAAATAAAAATTGAAATGAAACCTAATGGTACTTCTGGCTGAGGCTCTAGAAGCTCCCAGGAAGGATGCCGCATGGGGAGGAGGCCTTGGTACCACATACCGGTGGCTTACGGAAGCTTCTAAGACACTAAAGAAGCACATGTGACAGCACTGAGCAAGGGTCCAGTCACCACTGAGCTTCAGTGGGCTTGGCCTACACCCAGCACCTCAGAGGGTCTGGATATGGGAAGAAGTAGCCACACACACCACTTGTCCTGTTTCTAAGAGCTCAGCTTTCCTTGCAAGTATCCCCCAGAGAATAACAAAACCACCCATTAACACCATATTTTTCTTAATTTTTTTCTTCTTCTTAATAACCAAGTAATCTGGAGCCAAACCATTCCTGAGCACTCCTGTTCTTGTGTAAAACTAAACCCTTCCCTCCCCCCCACACCCGCCCTCCCACCATATACACACCCCATATACACACATCATGTACAAATCCCTCCTCTGTCCCTTTGACCATGCCCCAACACACTCTGAGGTTCTTTTTTCACCCCTACCCCCACCCACCACCCCCCTGAGCCCCAGGCCTTGAGACTATAAATCTGGCCCATGCTGAGAACAGCAAACAAAGGAGCAACTGTGGGAAGTGACAAAGCTCAAGAACTTTGGCATTGGGTCTGCCCTTGAAGGTGCTGGCAGGGCCAGTCTTCCTGCAGGATACCCCATACATCTCAAAATGACAGAGGGCAGGGCATCACTGCCCAAAAGATGGCTCAGCAGGGCTGCTGCTCCAGTGACGCAGTGAGCACTCCAGAGAAGGATCCTTCTCCAGGAATGAAATGTGGCAGAAATAAAAGCACCTGGGCCAGAGTTATGCAGCACTTGCCATCAAATATTATCTCTAAAATCCCTATAATTCCCTCCCCAAAAGGAATAGAAATGGGGGGGAAATGAGAAAGGGAGAGGAAGAGAGAAAGGAAAAAAAGGGAGGGAGAGAAACAAAGCAGGAGAGAGTGACGGAGGGAGGGGGAAAGGAAGAAGGGAGGGAGGGAGGGAAGGAGGAAGGGAGGGAAGGAAGGAAGGAAGGAAGAAAGGAAGGAAGGAAGGAAGGA